CTAGGCTGGCAACGCGGGGGCATCGTGGGATACTGTGGGCACAATGTAGTGTTCAAGAGCGGGTACAGACTGAATTTCTCAGAATTGAATAGGTACCTGGGCAAATTGCACAGTAATCATACGTAATAGTGTATTCAGGATGTTGTACGCCTTCGCGCATAGATGGACCATAGTTCCAGTAGCACAGGAATATGTTGCATTGAAAGCAAATGTATTATAAATGTACGCCATACATACAAGTGACTCTACATGAATGCCATGGCGTTGATCCACCTCATCTACGGTGAAAATCGCAGTGCAAGGACGCCCGCCAAGTGTGAGTCGTCACACAGCAAGGCCTACCGGCGGACGACGATAGCCAAGGAAAAAGTCACGAAGCGATGCCCCACGCGAACTCGACGCCGTTGGTCTTGCGGCTCTCGAGCGAGAGCGACCGGCGCTTGGTCTCGCCCTCGCCGATGGCGTTCAACTTCGTCGTCGCCAGTGTGGTGCGACGCACGATCGCGGGAAGCGAGAAACTGGTCGCGCTGCCATGCGATGTCTTCTCTGAGCCGCGCCGGCTGTGGCACGAATCGGCGTTCGCAGCAGACTGTGCGGCACCGCGAAACCCTCTGGCGTGCTCGTTGTGCTCGTTGTGCTTGCGTCGCGCCGGCCAGGCCTGTCGGCATTCTTCTCGTCTTCTTCGGGGTCGTCGAGTGCGCAAGGTAGCTCCGTGTCGCTGTGGCTCAAGTGCGGAGCTGGGGACTCGTGCTAGCTGGTGAAGACGTCTCATTGCCGAGGAGGAAGTGGGGGTGAGAGGTATTCGAGTGGATATTGAAGGCGAATAAGCCTGCTTCCGGGAAGCGGGGAAAGTGTCGACTTGCGACAATAAAGCGTAAGAGGCGGTGTTGTTGTGTTGCACCAGCAGGCTCAGACATAGTGCTCGTCCCGGAAAAGACGGCGTCGTACCAGGCGCTCAAGGCCCACGCGGACTTGCGGCCCTGCCTGGCCTTCGGGCTGGCTGAGCCCACGATGAAGGACAACCGGGGGAAGCAAACATTGCTGTCACCAGTGGCAATCTTGTGTTGTGGATCGTAGTCGTTCACTGGTCGCGCTCTCCGTCCTGGCTGAAGACGTACGGGGGGAAAGGCCTGACTAGTTCAAGAGCCTCGAAACGCGGGGTCTGCTCGATTCGATTGGTGAACCGATTAAGGGCTTGGCTCGTGACACACTCGGCGCCGCCGAATAGCTGCTTGAGACAGCCCATGATGACGACGGGCAATGCATCTTGACCAGCCTGTATGTCTTGTCCAAGTGCAATCGGGGCTTTCAGAGAGCCAGGAAGGGGACGAAGACGAGACGTGGCCGTGAGCGTAAAAGAGCTCCAAAACCCGAGCTCTTCTTGGGTTGCGTCTTGGTAAAGTTTCTTGTCTTCGTCATCCCTGCGATCTCAGTGAGAAGCGAAAGCTGCGTTGAGAGCGAAATAGACGTACGACATTCGGGCCGCAACACAAAAGCGCATCGTAGAGGCCAATCGCCCACCCGCCCCTTCGCGACTTTCCTCCTCAACCCCACGATGCCGCCCTCAGCGTCGCGCAAGATCTTGTCGTCCTCGAGACCAAGCCCGCTCTTCTATTCTTCCCGTACACCGTCTGACCCCGCTCGCAGGCCTTTCAAAACGAGTCGAGCCTCGAAACCTAGCGCCGCCAATCCTTCTTGAGATGTGCTCTCGTAGGTCGTAGCAACAGCGCGCATCTTGTTACGCCTGTACAATGAGCCTTCGATTTCTTCACCAACGGCCGTCACACGTTGAGAAAGCCCTTCTTCGCGACGGCGGCGGCAAAGTTCTCGCGAGATTCGACGCGGCATCCAAAGCGATTCTGCGAACGTTTAGACAACAGCCGGCTGAGTGAGTATATGCGCGTACCTGAGCCCCGATCCCGCGCCATGCTTTTGACCAACGGCCTCGCAAGTTGGTGCCTCATAACCACCAAGCCGGACGCCTGCTCAACGAGTCTTGCAGGCGCGGTAAGATGCTGATGCGACGGTAGAGACGGGGCGACAGGTTGTCGAACGGTCTAGAAGAGAGCATTGATGGCACCGGAGGTACGTCAGCCTTGAATGCCGTCATCTCGTTGCTGGCTCGACATTGATAATCTCCATAATGGATGAAATTGCTCGTACGCTAACTTTGAGGGGAAGGGAAGATATGTGCCTGCGACCAGAGAGAGATGGAGGTGATGTCGCCGCCGTGCACCCGCAGGCCGGGGCGCAGCGTTTGTTGGGGGGGGGGGGGGGGGAACCGGGTTT